ATATATATATATATATATATATATTTAATTATACATTTTTATTATTTACTTTAAAATATACCGACAATTTTTAATATCAATCGGTTTTAAATCATACAATTTGAAAATTAAATACGAATTAATATTTCATTTGTAATACCGATCACGTACGTTTAATAAATCTTGATTAAAAAAAAAAACATTTCTTCTAAATATCGAACCCCGTTAAATAACAGTACGAATCAGTTTTTTCTTCATTTAATTCCCCGATTATCGAAGAAATAAAACAAAAAAAAATGTAGGACGTATATTCATATGAAAGAATGATTAATTTTTTATCCAAGTTGTAACAGCTTATTCTTTTTTTTTTTCTCTCTCTCTCTCTCTCTCTCTCTCTTTCTGTGTGCTTTGAACGTAGGGGGAGTGGTTGCACTTTGTACGGTTTTGATATTTTTTTTCTCTCTTTTCCCTTTCCCCTTCCCCACGGCCCATTTTTTTTCTCGACGGAAAGGAAAAAAAAAAGAAAAAAATGGTAAAAATATCGTACACCGGTGGTGATTCGTGCGACCGGACGTTCTTTTCCTCGTGACTCTCCATTATCCGTCGCATTGGACCAACGCGAAATATTACGCGTACAAAGAGAAGAAGACGCGTATTATAAAGCAGCCCTAGAGTTTCGGTCAGCTTTTTATCTCTCTCATTCTCTCTCGCATTCTCTTTCTATCTCTCATTTCACCTTTGTTCGCGTACATTAGTGATTATGACGCGACGGACCGGCACGTAAAAACGAATCGCGAAATTATTCATCAAAGAGAATATTCGAAATCACTCGTTTAAATGTATAATAGATTATAATTGTAATTCATAAAAATTATGATTGTATTAATATATTATTTCCTTTTTTATTTTTTTATTTTTTTTTTGTATTTTTTCTTAATCGTGTATCACTTAATATATTCCTAATTAATAGAACGCGATCGAAGATATATTTTGTTCTTAGGTAAAATTTGATTGATGAATACAAATCCTTTCTCGATTATTGTCAGATACATTTTACATTCTTCTTTTCTTTTCTCTACGATGAAATAATAATTTAAGCGGATAATTTATGCTCAAAAGGATCAGATTCATTGGCTTTTTCATATAATAATTACTCAAAGTCATTATTATCTCTCTCTCTCCCTCTCTCTCTCTCTCTTTCTTTACGAGCAATCGTTATCCAACGAATTACAAAATTTGTTAAACGAAGGTATCGTTATTACGCCTTTGACGAGAAACGAATCTTCTTCTATAAGAGGAGGAGAATAAAAATCTGAAGGTCTGAAGAGCGGAGATCATTTTAATTACATTTCATCCCGGACTTCAGCGTAGCCCCTGAAGCACCGACAGACTTAATCTCAAGAAAATCGATTTGTATAAATGAATACAGTATCTACCTTACCTTTCTGCGTTATACTACGGTACGTTACGCTTCTACGACGTTTTAACGCTCTAGGCAATATTTAACAAGAATTAATTACTTCTACGCCGATAATTCCTTCCAATTACGCATAATACTTCAAAATTAACATCTTTCTTATCATCCTATTCAAAATAAAAAGAAAATAACGAAAAATAATGAAATTATTTCAAGAGAGAAAAAAAAAAGTAAGATAAACACCTTCGCAAATTTTCTCTCCCAACTTTATATAATATTAATTATTGTATAGAAATATTTATATTGTTATATAAATATAATATCAAAAATACGATTCATAATGGAGTCCGATAACGGAATTTGTTAATGACCCATATTAATTTTCCTCTAAAACATACACGATAGTCTCCCATCTTCTCTCCCCCTGCTCGATACATAATAACAATCAATTTCTTTGCGTTTACTTTTATATATAAAATTGTCTTACAATTAAAAATGTATAATTTATTAAAATCAACGATTTTAAATGGAGAATACACGTTTTCTCTCAAGTAAATTGAGTTCGACGATGAAAATCATTCAAAGGATTGATCTCGTTGTTTGAGACACAAACATAGATAGACATGCACAAAGACAGATACGTGGGCACCCAGTGGACCTTTGAATAGATTTTTAAAGGGGTACATTACGATCGATTTGCTATCGTATTTAATCAAACGAGACAGTATATCAAAGGGACGGACAGGGAAAGGACTGACTGACCAGTGATAACACACGAAAGTCTCTTTGCAGTGAACGTGTCTATCGTCGAATTACGTAATACACCCTACTCCCCCCCCCCCCCCCCCCTTCTCTTCTATGTTCCTTCGATGTATCACATTCGAATACTCAACGCTCCGTAAACGAAAGAAAATAGACAAAAAGAATATAAGAGAGGGAGGGAAATAAATCTATAGGGTGTTATAAAATATGCGAACATAACTTAACACTTTGACCTATGTCATGTAAAAATCACATGTTTTGCTCAGGATGTTACGGTAGTATTTTGATTATTCCAAATTTCGTATTAATTCATCTTTCACTTTTGATGTTTCAATAATATAATTTGTAATTGTTCAATGGGACATCTTTTATTTCAAAGTACAACACGGTTTCGGTCTAACACGACAAAAAAAATTGCGAGAAATCTTCGTACAGCAATGTATTTCTATAGCAATGGATAACACATCATATTAACATACATAAAAACTAAATTATATTAAAATAATGATACGAAGGAATAATGAAATTTGAGTCTCATATAACACGGTTTCACTCAACACAGTATTTTCTAGGAAACTATCTACCATACTATCTGTATATTCTATTATTAGCGGTAATGTTGAAAATGCATTAAATATTAATTTTCATTAGACTATTACAATTGTAAATGTAACAGTAGAAATCGTGGCAGGTCATATAGGACAAACGTGGCTGTCGGTACGTTAATATAAAAAGAAAAAAATTCATATAATAACGTGTCATTCAATATGATCTTGTTTTTGAATTTAATCGTAATTAAATCAATCCGTTCAATTACGTTCACGTATTTTGAGACATCCTGTATAGAAGAAAATAAAGAGAAAGAGAGAAGAAAGACTTGGATAAAGAATCCACGTGCTAGAATCCGTATCCGATTCTCGTATTATACACATACCACGATAAAATAAGAATCCTGAAGCGTCGACAAGAGACGAGAGAGATTCCAAGACGTTTGCAGATAAAGAAAAGGAATTCTTTTCCCGCCCCTTACACCCCGACTTTCTATCTTACTTCCTCACTCTTTCCTTATGTGTTTTTCTTATTCTTTTATTCTTTCTTACTTATCTTTTTCTCCAAGACTTTTCATCCTCCTTGGTCTCCCTTTTGACGTGTATAGCTAGTATAGTATTATATAGTAAAAATACTACTCTCTCACCTGCACTCCAGAATTGCGTTCTTGCCCCTTAATGTGTACGCTGGGACGTTTATATGGAGTAGCTTCAGAGCTGCGACTGTAACATAAAAAAAGAAAAGGTAGAATTATCCAGGTGAGAGGAAGAAAAGAAAATAAAATAATGAAAGTAAACAAAGTAACCGAGTAAATAACTAAACTACATTCGTAATCTTCATTTTCTTCGCGAGAGTTATGAGTTATCCTTAACTTTAGACTTTTTATTTTTATTATCTATATTCTTATTTCTTTTTTTCTTTCTCTCTCTTTTTCTCTTGCTCTTTTAGCTTTCAAACGTTTAGTACACTTCAGCTTAAAGTTTAAAAGAAGAAGGATATTAAGATAATAATTGAATATAATATTGTGTTCTAAAAAATATACTAAAACTTGCTTACTGTAAAATATTTAACGTAAGTGAGAATTCGTGCGAAGTTAAAACTACGAATTCTAAAAATATATAAAAGTTACGTGGTTTTAAATAAATTTGTATGATTAACTGTAACAAGAGGATGAGAGAATTAATCAGTCGCTGAATGAAAGGAATACGAGAAAAGATAAATATTTAAAAGGAAAAATTGAAAAACATTTTACAGGAAAAGTTAACATTTATTTTTATATAGAACATATCCGGACGGGTAGTACAACTGAGTTGTGGTGATTCTCCGTGTAAAAATACGTCAAAAAAAGAAAAAAGATAACATTGTTTCATTTAAAGCTACGCTTTCGAAAAAATTGTTTTCGCGAATTATAAATTTAAAAACCTTCTCATCTCATATCTAATTTATGATAATCATTAAAAGAATAATATTTAATTAATATCTGCTTTGATTAGGATAATTTGAAACTCGTTGTTTGTAATACTTAATTGCTGTTGTTATGTCATCAATATAATTCGACTGATTGAGACAAACTAAATGAAAGAGAAATAAGTCATACGACTGAAGACAAAAGATAAATATTACATAGGTTAATAAATACGAAGATATAAACAAAAGACAATATTTGTGGCTTGTTAATTTGAGAGATAGTTCAGTGTACCTCTAATAAAAACTTGTTGTTCTTTTTCAACATATTTTTAAATATCGAATCAACTCCAGTTCTTTTGCAGTATTCGTTTAGAATATATTTCTATAATTGTAATGTAATATTTATTTATACAATTTTTATAATAATAAATAATAATTGAATTTATAATTAATTTTAGCATCGAAAAAATATACTTCGAAGTATGATCGTTCTGTTGAGTTCATTAAAATCCTAATTGATAAAATACGTGAATACAAAATATCAAAATTATTTTATACCCATAGTTTGTGATGTCAACGTTTATTAATATCGCATTAATAATAAAAAAATCGAACACACATAAGGTTAAATATATATTAATCCTAATTTCCCAAACTATAACAGATTTTTCTTACCCTATTTTTAATAACAATAACAGTTTCCAATCAATATTAGCGAAAGATTAAGAATTTTTGTCGATCGATGTTGAATGGTCCACTCGTGATGAGTATTCCACTGTTCCTTTCAATTCCGAAATCGAAGAAATCCTTGACCTGAGAAAGCAATGACGATACAATGGCGACTTTAAAAGAGGTTCCTTTTGAACACTCGACCCTACGACAAGCTTTTTTTTCCGACCTTCGTCTCGAGCCTTGAACATCGGTGGTGTGACAAGGGTATAAAGGCTCGGAAAATTGTACTACGGTGGTACATGAGTACCTTAAGGAAAGTGGATCGGAAGTGGATCGTGCTAGATGTTCAAACAATGCCTCGGCAAATCTATTGTGACGTCTTTTGTGAACACCTTTTCGTTCTTTCTCCTTCTCATCTTGACTTTCCTCGCACGTACTTCCTCAACTTCGACTTACTTTTATCGATCCACCTTTTATGGGATTTTACAAAATATTCTTCTAAGAGTAAAATAATAAACGTCTGTGTTCAATAATAATAATAATATTTCATTAATCTGCCTAATCAAGATCAATACAAAATTATGGTTGCTAGATAAAGTGTTACAATATCTCAGTGAAATAAGTTGCGTGTCATAAGACAGTGCAAGACAATAAGAAGTTTTGATAGTGAACTATACCATTAGGTGATCACGTGATATATACGTCGAACACGCGTTTGATGTTCGACGATACTAAAAGCAAAGAGAAAAAAACCTTGTCTAGGTGGTCTAGGATTTCTTAGAACGACGAACTCGGAAACGAGTTCAAGGATTCAAGAAATGATTTCTATTTAATTATCTTTTCTGTACTTTGTACTTTATTACATTGTACTTTTTCTTTTACATTTGCTCTTACGAGATATTTTCTTTCTTTTTTTTTTTTAATTATATCAAAAACGGTAGTTATATGACCGTGGAAGTACTCGTGTTTTATTTTATTTTTCTTTTTTTTTTTTTTTGATAATTCTCCTTCCCAGAAAGGGTAACAATGCTTTGTATAGTCTTTCTCCGGGGGAGGGGGAGGGGGAGGGGTCAGAAAAGGAGGCATGTACTTCAGTTTAAATAAATTGCATTTCATTACACGGATAAAATAATAATATCTTCTTTTTTAATTCAATATACAATATTACCATTTTCAAAGAAATCTTTTCCATATTTGTCCTCTTTTTTTCTCTCCCTCTCAATGATTCTCTTCGCAATCAATGCAAATAATACGAATTACGAGCGGAATCGTTCAACCGACGATATTACCTACAATTCTATTCTCTCTCTCTCTCTCTCTCTCTCTCTCCTCTCCGCCCCTCCCCCCTCCCTCGATCAGATTATTCTAATCTGACGATTTGTATGCCAACCATTTCGAAAATCTTTCTTAGATTCGTAAAATATGTTGGGAAGATAAAAGAAAAGAAAAGAAAAGAAACAAAAAAGAGGAGAAGAAAAATAAATAAAAAAGTTTGTTTATGGGTAGGGGGGGAGGGAACATTGTTGAAGAATAATAAGAGTATCTAATAACGATAATTATAATAAAAGATAATAATGAGAATAGTTTCTCATTAAGATATACGAAACGGAATATAGTTATTTTTTTGTACCTTATGGTAGATAAATAAAATTCCATTGTGGCGTATATAGGATGTGTTGAGACAAACCGAAAAGGCTCGTTTTAATTAAGTACCGTGCTATTTCACTCGGAATACAATACAAATACCTATTATAATGAAAATACTTGGCTTGGAAGGAAGAAAAGGGAAATTGTACATTGTTGATAAGGATTCAGCTATGAGAGTCTACTATCCTTTCATGTTAACTGTTTCTTACCTTGATTAGTTACGTATTGTTATGGAAAATAAATTGTATTGTGGTTGTATTTTTTGTTTTATATTATTACAATAGGGAAAGACAAAAAAGGTAAGATAAAATATAAAAATTGTCTCTTATTTTATGGAGAAAAAGATAATCGAAATGTCGAGGCAGCTTTTTCCTTTTTTCTTTTTTTTTTTTTTTTNTCTTCTCTGCAAAGTTGAAACGCGAAACTGTCGAATTTAGCGTCACTTTGTTATTTCCCTCGACGAAGGAATCCTCAGCTATCGAAAAAGTCGATCGAAATGTCGAGGCATTTTTTCCTTTTTTTTTTTTTTTTTTTTTTTTGCTTCTTTTTTTCTTTTCTCCACCTTTTCTTCTCTGCAAAGTTGAAACGCGAAACTGTCGAATTTAGCGTCACTTTGTTATTTCCCTCGACGAAGGAATCCTCAGCTATCGAAAAAGTCGATGCACGAATTCAATTTTCAGCGATTCCTTTCGTATTTTCTTTTTTTTTCTCTCTCTCTCTCTTCTTCTTCTTCTTCTTCTTCTTCCTTTATTTTCCTTTCCCCTGTTCTTTCTCTTTTCTCTTTTTTAAAGCTGAAAACGAAATGTACTTCTTCCAGAGCAGACACGGAATAGAGAACCGTTCGAGAGTAAGTATGTAGATGTATATACATTTGTATAGATGTATTTGTATATTCACATGAACATACGAAAACCATTGTCACGCTTCTTCATTCTATGTTGCATAAATTATTCCAGACATTCAATTCCACGTTTTCCTTGTACCTTTTTCAACTCTATTTTCTAAAGTCTCCTTTACTAAACAAAAGAAACTTTTATCGGATTTTTTTCAATCATTTATTTATAAATCATAATGGCTAATTAATTATTATCGACGAATTCTAATCTTTTAATTCATTTTTTTTTTAATCCTTTTTATTTTACCACCAAACTATAGTCGATTTTCGGTATAAAATATTATAAAAACTATTAATGTATATTGTATCCATCAAATTTGAACCCTTTCATTACTAACTAACCGATATATGAGTTGTTCATACTAGAAACATACCCATAACAAATGGGTTAAAAATGTTTTGAGAACTAACCTACATAAATATATAATAAAATATAAACAAAAATATTGTTTCAATTAAAAATCTAATTTTCACAAATATTTAGAAACCAAATGAATTAACATAAATGATAATCGAAGTAGACATTTGCGGTAGAAAGAAAGTAGATTAGCGTGTACTTAAATCGATATATAGGAATGGGTTTAAATGGTGAAAGGATTATTTGGTAATTTAAGGTATAGATCGAGTAGTTAAATCGTTAATCACTGAAATCCAAAATTTAGTGGTTGTTACAAGAGGCCTAACGTCGTAGCATTAACTACGCATTTCGATAAATTAATTCTCGGAGCAATTGGGAATAGGAAGGTGTGGCCACGACCGCAGAGGCTAGCTACCTTGCTTCTCTAATCATCGATATTCCTCGTTTCACCGCAATAACCGCATCTGTTATACGCAAGGAACACAATAACGGCACTTCCAGATTAGACTGAAGAGCAACCACCATAACCGATCGTCGAATCGTCGATTGGTAGATTCTCTTGGTACTACTTGCGAATAACTGATCTTCAATCTTCAATATACGAGATAGTTGATCCCTTTTGTTCGACCTTTTGAAGACAAAGAGAGAGAAAGAGAAAGAGAGGAAGAGAGTAAGAGAAAGAGAGAGAGAGAGAGAGAAAGAGAGAGAGAGAGATATTCTCAATCGAGTCCTGCCAGTTTCCA